GGCTAGGGGTTTTTCTATCTTGTTGATTTTTTTCAAAGAACCAACTCTTTGTTTCATTGATTTTTTTTTTTTTTTGGGTATTGTTCTCTTGGTTTCTATTTCATTGATTTCACCTCTCAATTTGATTATTTCTTGGCGTCTATTTCTCCTGGGTGAGTTTCTTTTTGTTCTAGAGCTTTCAGTTGTGCTGTTAAGTCATTGGTATGAGATTTCTCTGTCTTCTTTATGTGTGCATTTAGAGCTATGAATTTCCCTTTTAGCACTGCTTTCATAGTGTCCCATTAGTTTGGGTATGTTGTACTTTCATTTTCATTGAATTCTAGGAAATCTTTAATTTCTTTCTTTATTTCTTCCTTGACCCATTGGTGTTTCAGGTGGGCATTATTCAGTTTCCATGAGAATGTAGGCTTTCTATAATTATTGTTGTTGTTTTTAAATCTAACTTTAAGGCATGGTGGTCCGATAAGATACAGGAGGTTATTCCAGTGTTTCTGTATCTGTTGAGATTTGCTTTGTGACCAAGCAGGTTGTCGATTTTTGAGAAGGTTCCATGGGGTGCTGAGAAGGTATATTCTTTTGTGTTAGGACGGAATATTCTGTAGATATCTATTAAGTCCATTTGAGTCATAACATCTGTTAGGTCCTTTATTTCTTTAAGTTTCAGTCTGGTCGATCTGTCTTTTGGTGAGTGGTGTGTTGAAATCTCCCACTACTAATGTGTGGAGTTTGATGTGTGATTTAAGCTTTAGTAATATTTCTTTTATGTGGGTGCCTTTGTATTTGGGGCATAAATGTTCAGAATTGAGACTTCATCTTGGTGGATTTTTCCTGTGATAAATATGTAGTGTCCATCCTGATCTCTTTTGATTGATTTTAGTTTGAAGTCTATTTTATTAGATATTAGGATAGCTATACCAGCTTGCTTCTTATGTCTATTTGATTAGAAAGCCTTTTCCCAGCCCTTTACTCTGAGGTAGTATCTGTCTTTGAAGTTAAGTTGTGTTTCTTGGCAGAAGGATGGATCCTGTTTTCTTATCCATTCTGTTAGTCTGTGTTTTTTTATGGGTGAGTTGAGACCATTGATATTGATGGGATATCTAGTTTTTAAAACGTAAGAAAACTTCTCTAATTGGACAAAAAAGGAAAGGAAGGGGAGGAGAGGAGACAGGACTTACCTTATCATGTCTTATCAGAAGAGATGTCTGGAGCCCAGGGCTCTGTTTCTTTGGGAGCAGCTTAGTCCAATCAGTGTTAGTGGGTTCTGTCTCAGGGAGCAGTTGTTCCCAGTTGGTGCAGGGTGTGCTTATGGTTTCAGTGGTTGTTAGTTTTTTTTTGTTTTTTTTTTTTTTGGTGGGGGAGCAGGGAAAGGTAGCTGTCTGGTCCCTGGGACTCCGATGGGTAGGGCCTAGGGGCTAGAGACCTGATCTGCCAGTCTGGAGATGGGGGCTTACCTGTTCCCAGTAGGGGTAGTATGGGCTTATGATTCTGGTGATCTGGTTCAGTAGCTGGGCGGAGCCTTCTTTTGTGTTCTCAGGTTATGTTTTGCTCATTTGTCAACTCCTCAGCTGATCTTGTTTCCTCAGACTGTAGACTGTAGGATTCTGAATCCTCTCCTGAGTGGATCTTTGCTGAGCAGGTTGGTTAGTAGGGTAATCTCACCAACACCTCTAAGTTGTTGGGTTTCGAACGATAGGCAGCTGGGCCCTGGGTTGACCTCAGACAGAGTGTTCGGATTCGTTCTGGTCCTGACCTGTCCAGGAAGATAGCTCTTTCCCCGGGTGCTGGGATCAAAGGCGTCCCTGTTCCAAGCTCTTAATCTCCTTGTTTTCACTAACTCCTCAGTTAATAGCTCAGTTTCTGGTCTTATGATGACCGACCGTGTCTCTGCCACCGCTCTGCCTGCCTCTGCCTGCCTCTGCCTGCCTCTGCCTGCCTCTGCCTGCCTCTGCCTGCCTCTGCCTGCCTCTGCCTGCCTCTGCCTGCCTCTGCCTGCCTCTGCCTGCCTCTGCCGCCTGCTCTATCTCTTGGAATGCTGGCTTTTGTCTGACCCCTAGAAATCCCTCTATAGACTGTAGGGCCCTGGCCTCCTCCCATATTGAGTAAGCTGTTGCCTGCTTGCCGACCTTGACCAGATATCTTCCCTATGCTAATTCCCTGTCGGTTTCCACCCTCCTGAATGCTTAAGGGAAGTTCCTTGTTTGTGTATCCTACATATTGGGCTTAGATGCAAGATGTAAATAGCAGTAGCGAACTTTTGCCCTCTGGGGTTCTCCCTTTGTGCTGTAAGCCTGTATTTAAGGTTTCTTCCCTCTTTCAATAAACAGCATTTGGCATTCTGCTGAGGCGAATGACCCGCTGTTTCTTGTCTCTATTTTTCGATCCCTCGCTCGGACATGGTGAACGGGTGATGGTAGCGCGGGCGTTATTGCTACAATAGATCAGGTTGAGCTCATTTCTGGATCTTTGGACTGTCTTTTGGAGTTGGGAGAATTGTAGTTTCCTTTGGACCTGACAAAGACATAGCTGTAAAAAACTAGTTCTTGCATCATTAGTATCCTATTTTGGGGGAGAGAAACTGAGACCCCAGGGCAACTTGTACTAATAATTAAACCACAGCTACAGACATTTGAACACTGGCTTAGGCTGTATGAATGTTCTAGGGTGCAGGATGGACCAATGATTTTGTTGTTGTTACTCAACCCCCACCTCCTTCTCATGTCTCTGAATCCAAAAGTTTTGTCTAAGACAGTTCACTGGTATGGAAAGAGCCCGTGTTCGAAGGGTAGAAGTCGCTTTCTGTTTGAATTTGCTAGCTAGGTTTTTTTTTTGTTGTTGTTGTTCCATTTGCTAAAGAATGGTGGAGTTGGGGTTGGGGATTTAGCTCAGTGGTAGAGCACTTGCCTAGGAAGCACAAGGCCCTGGGTTCGGTCTTCAGCTCCAAAAAAAAGAATGGTGGAGTAACATTTTCTGAAGTTTAAGTGCTGGTGAGTGGCATTTAAAGTAAAGTCAAAAAAGCCTGGCATGGAGCACATGTCTGTGAATACAGTCAGCACTCAGGAGCCTGAGGCAGGAGGATCTCTACAACTTTGAGGTCAAATTCGCCTATAATTCAGGTTCTAGACCAACCAGGGCAACACAGTGAATCCTTGTCTCAAAAACACCAACAAAACCCTCCAAAAAAAATAACCATAAAGAAAGTATTGATAATGTTGCCAGTTGGGTTGGACTCCAGAGCCCGCTGGAGGATCTGGTCCTAAGCTCTGGCTTTCTGCCAAGAAAAGGCGTTTCCGCCGGAGGGCGGTGGCGCATGCCTTTAATCTCAGCTCTCGGGAAGCAAAGTCAGGCGGATCTCTGTGAGTTCGAGGCCAGCCCGGTCTATAGAGCAAGCTCTAGGACAGGTACCAAAACCACACGGAGAAATCCTGTCTCGAAAACTACCCCCCCCCCCAAAAAAAAAAGAAAGAAAAGGTGTCTTCGCGTTCCTCATTAGAGACGTGTATCTTGGCGTAAAGTTGCTCGCTGCCTCTGAACGCCCTCCGGTCGTCATGGAGACTTCGCACGCCCCAGCAGGCTCCGCCTCTCCTAGAGCAGGGGGCGGGGCGTGCAGTGACGCACGCACGTACGTTGGCGGAGCGGCGTCGCGGTGGTTGCCGGGAGCCAGCGTCCGGCCGCCCCGACCAGGAAGTGGAGGGCGGAGCCGGCTCCGCGGCCAGTGGCTGGAGCCCCCCCCTCGGCAGGTCGGCGCTGGGCGTGCGCGGGGCGGCGGCGGCGGCGGCGGGGGCCGCTGACGAGGGGCGGGAAGCGGAGCCGCGGTGGGCGGGCGGGCGGGCGGGCGTGCGTGCGAGCGACCGACCGAGGCGGAGGCCGGGAGGCGGCGCGGGCTGCGGGCGCTGAGGTAGGAGCCGCGGCGGCGGGCGAAGCGGCGAGTCACCCCGGGGGACTCCGCCGAGTCCAGAGGCGCGACGCGGCTTCCGAGTGGACGCGCGTGGACGCCACGCCGCCGCCGCCGCCGCCGCCGAGCCGTTCTCCAAGCCGAGCACCTCGAAACGGGGCTCGCTTCCAGCCAGCATGGTCTTTTAGGCCGGAGGTCCATACGGCAAACTTTTGGGTGGGGAAGCCGGAAGATTCCCGGTGGGCGAGCGCATGGTGCCGCCTCTGGGCCCCTAAGTTTTCGTTAGCGAGTGTGGAGTAGTGGGGGGACCACGGCGTCCCCTCCCTCCCAGGGCTGCCTCCCGACCTGGAGTCTGCCCTGCCTTTTCTAATCCTGCTGAACTTGAGTTGTGTGCTTTCTGCGGAGTCCGAGAGGCGTTTTCCAGATCGGACCGCTTCGGTCCCTTTCCTGGTGCGCCAGCGGAGAAGCCGAAAGCTAAGGGTAGACAGGCTGCAAGATTGCAGATTCTGGGGTGGAAGGAACTGGGCAGTGGAGCCTGAAGATGTTCAGTTTTAGCTTCTCAGTATCTCTTCCCCTGTGAAACGTAGCATCTCTCAGTTGGGTATCCTGTTTGTTGGTTTTGATTGACCAAAGTAATATAAAGACGTGGGGTGCAGTTTCTCTAGTACAGATGCTGCAAAAGGAGGGAAAATTGGCTGGAACACGAAAGAGTAAGGCGCTTGCTCTGGGTGCCTTTGTTGGTACCACAGAGACCTGTTCCAGGTCTGGGGGCACTTGACCTCTCCAGCAGCGACCTTAGTTATGCCTCTCTAGTTCAGGTTTTACTTGTTAAAATTAAGGAGAGCACTAATGCCTAGTCTTTTCAGAGTTGTGGGCATTATGTACTGTCAAGTTTTTGTAAATTGTACAGCTTGGATCTGTCCTGAAGTCTTCTATATTAAAAGGCCAGGTTAATCACCTGACCTTGCGAAGTAAAATAGAAATGTTCCCTGTTTTAGGAGTTGCAGCCTGCCCGTTTCCTCGTCTTCTCACTTGGGAATTTTTTCTTATTCTTGTTTTCACGCTTTTCTTCCTCACTCACATATAACAGTTACTCTTGGAAAAAAAACTTTCATAACTACTTTCTCACTTCAATAGTTGAGCCAAAGATGTACAACATTGATAGCCCTCCCCGCCCCCAGTGTGAAATTGAATTTGAAGCAGTCCTGTAGATTATTATTGCCCGGATGTTAGGAACTGAAACCGAGAGAAGCAGCTGTTTTACTCTTAGACAAGGATTCTTCAACTCTTCTGACCTGAAGTTCACACTGATTTTTTTCTTATGAACGCTTTCTTTTTTCTTTTGATGATCAAGATTAAACCTGAGGCTTCATAAATGCACACTACCACATGCTACTGTCCAGCGAGCTGAATCTCCAGTCTCCATCTTACTGGGTTTTTTGGAAACAGGGTTTCTCTGTGTACCTCTGGCTGTCCTGGAACTTGGTCTGTAGACCAGGCTGACCTTGATTGAACTTACAGAGATCCGATGCCTCTGCCTCTCAAGGTGTGTGCCACCCCCCCAGCCATCTTCCTGCTTTTAATACTCAGTGCATATGGAACCAGTTAGGATTCTTCAGCTTCCCTGAAGATGTGGAAGCAATATTTACTCAGTAAAAACTGAACTTGAGGGCTGGAGAGATGGCTCAGAGGTTAAGAGCACTGACTGCTCTTCCAGAGGTCCTGAGTTCAATTCCCAGCAACCACATGGTGGCTCACAGCCATCTGTGATGAGATCTGGTGCCCTCTTCTGGCATGCAGTCATACATGCTGTATACATAATAAATAAATAAATCTTTAAAAAAAAAACTGAACTTGAGGTTATGATGTTTTCCTAGGCTGGTGACTTTTAGTACTGTGCTTTAGTGATGCGGAGCTCCCAATCCCTAATGAGATCATAAGGGCACCATTGTTACTTCATTGTGTACTGGGTTGCTAGGCATTTATGATCAGTACAAAGGATGTATTAAATGCATTTTGAACTTAAAATATTTTCAGTTTATGATAGGTTTTTTAGGTATAACCCCATTGGAAGTCAGGGATCCTCTGTATACTGGTCTTTTCTCTCCTTACTGAACATTAGTTCAGTAGTGTGAAATTCAGTCATAGAGGCAAGTATGAGCTTTTCTGAGACCTCTGCAGTGTGCTAGGAAGAGTTAAGAAAAGAATTTTTGTAAGATTCTTGGTGATTCAACTGTAGTTCTCCTGGTTGTGTTGCGAGTGCTTAAAATTGTAGAGTTTCGTAACTGGGAAGGAGGAAAATGAAATGATAATTTCTATCTCCTTCCAAATCAGGAATTTTCTGTAGGACTTCCCGACGCCCCACCCAGTGTCTTGTTTGGTTCTAGTTGTCCTGGACTTCACTATGTAGACCAGACAGAAATCTACCTGCTTCTGCTTCCAGAGTGCTGAGATTAAAGGCATAAAGCACTATGCCCAGCTTCTGTAGACATTTTAAATGCCTAAACCCAGCTTTCGTAGTTAATAAGAGAACACTGGTTCTTAAAATACACCATTTCAGCCGGGTGGTGGCGCACGCCTTTAATCCCAGTATATCAGGAGGCAGAGGCAGGCCGATCTCTGTGAGTTTGAGGCCAGACTGGTCTACAGAGTGAGTTCCAGGACAGGCTCCAAAAGCTACACAGAGAAACCTTGTCTCGAAAAACCAAAAAAAAAAAAAAATCATTTCATTTATAGCAGTTCTGATTTTCTTCCTCTCCTCCCTCCCTCCATTCTCCCTCATTGAGCCTAAATTTGCTTCCTAATTTCTGCCCGGATTTTTGTTTGTAGAGCACTGGTCCATAGCAGAAATATAATGGGAGCTCCAATTGTGAGCCATGCTTGTAATTAAAATTTGTGTGTATGTGTTTATGGTGCTGAGAATTTAACCCAGGGCCCTATGCAAACAAGGCATGTGTTCTATCAACTGAACTATATCTCCAGCTAGAGAGAGAGACAGAATGTGTGTATTTTATCTGTGTATGTATTTTTAAAAAATATTTAATTTATTACCATTAAGTTACAAGTCTGAATCTACACACTGTGGCAAACACTGGTACTTTTCGCCACTGGAAATCGTGTAGGCATGTGGCTACCTAAGGGATATACTGTAGTCATTAAAGAAAAAAAATAAAGAATTTTGAGTACTTTAAGTACAAGTTACAAAAATTCCCTTTGATTTTTATTATATAGATCCCAATAGATAATATGGACATTACTACAGATTACTGAAGATAAAACTGTCATTCAAGATTATTAAATTAGTTGCATGTTTTGGACTACTCTAGAAGACAGCTATTAGCATTGGTAAGGCTGCAGAGTTGGTGTAGTGTTTCTCGGCTTTTCTATATAGTTGGCATGGTTATTAAATGTAGCATTCATGTTTTCCCCTCAGCAAAACTGTTTCAGCTGCTCTGTGGCTTGGCAGAAGTGGCCGGGGCACTGTCCTTTCTAGAGCTGCTTCTCGCCTCGCTAATGAAGGTGCGCTCTCCTCATCTAGTTGATAAGCTGCCCTCCCTGAAGGAGCTGGCGCACTTCATTAGTAACATGACATGCACGCAGAAGCCAGATTCCAGGTTACCTTGTAGACAAATCTCGTGAGTGTCAAAGTGTAGTAACACAGGAGGGAAGTCATCTGCCCACTGATAATCTCTGCGGCTTTTTTTTTTTTTTTTTTTTTTTTGAGACAGGGTTTTTCTGTGTAGCTCTGGCAGTCCTGGAACTCACTTTGTAGACCAGGCTGGCCTCAAATTCACTGAGATCCACCTGCCTTTGCCTCCCAAGTGCTGGGATTAAAGGCGTGCGCCACCACTGCCCGGCCCTCTGCAGACTTCTAAATGTCATTGGTTGCCAAAATGGGGAGACTCCAGTTGGCATATGGGTCCCCGAGGAGGTGCTGACTCATGAGATAGTCCTGGAAGTCCTTGTGCATCTCCGCTCCAGCCATGGTCATGTCACTTGAGGTGCAGCCGCTCTTTGGACTAAGTGACACTATATGTTTTTAAAAAGTAAAAATTGGTGAAACTGGACTGAGTCAGTCCGGCTTGAGGGGCAGCCGCTTAGTTTTATTGCACTGAGGAGCTGACTCAGCAGGTAAAAATGTGCTGTGCAAGCCTCGGGACTTACGTTTACTCCCTAGGACCCACAAAAAGCTGGTTGTGGTATCTTGGTGGCTCTGATCTATAATCCTGTTAACTCCAACACGAAGACGAGAGATGGAGACAGGAGGATTACTCTGAAGGTCCCAGGCCAGTTGCTGTGAAGTGTGCAGAGTGGCAGAATCACAGAGAAGGTGGAAAGCAAGAGCAGGTTCTTGTCCTGGCTTCCACACACACTGAGGCTTATGTATTCATTCCTGAATCTGTGAACATGAGCCGGCATGCACACACAAGAAAACTTGAAATGATTAGTGAAATATGTTATTAAAAAATAAGATCTGAAAATACTGCTAGCACATGCAGTTAATACAGGGCACCCCCTTTGCACTTAGTGTTATTTTTGGTGCCAGGTCTTAATGTCTGTGATTTGGAAACAAGGTCTAGTGCGGCCCAGGCTGGCCTTGGGGTGTCCAGCTGAGGATGACCTTGAATTTCTGATTCTCCTGCTTCTATCAAGTGTGATAAGTTTACCACTATGCATCACTGTACCCATTGTTGAAGATTGAACTCGGGGCCTTGTGTGTGATAGGCTAGCACTGAAGCAACAGCTACATGCCCAGTCCTGCAGTCTGATACCTTTTTTATACTTTATCTGAATTCTGACTAGCATATTTCAGCTATAAACAGGCACATTTGGGTCATAGTTACCACACTACTGGACAGCGTGGCTGGAGGGCTTTGGAGAGTACTTGTGTTCTTACTGACCTCACTACTGCCATTTTTAAAGAAGCAAATAAATATAAATGCTAGCAAACCAAGTAAAAAATTTTATAGGAACTAACTTGCCAAGGTCTGTAGACTTGGCATGCAGGTTTGAGTGATCTGAATTTATATTAAAGGTGCGTGTTTGCTTTTATAGCATTATGGATCCAAGCCTGTTGAGAGACAGAGAGCTATTCAAAAAACGAGCTCTTTCCACCCCTGTGGTAGAAAAACGTGCTGTGCCTTCTGAGTTGCCCTCTGCCTCATCCAAGAAGAAGAAAGCAAAGGTCGAACACGGAGGGTCATCAGGCTCCAAACAAAACACAGGTCAGTGGGGCTGTTCTAGACGGTTGGCTTTCTGTTTTCAGGAAACACAGGTCAGTGGGACTGTTCTAGACGGTTGGCTTTCTGTTTTCAGGAAACTAGCAATGGCAAGTTCAGTTTATTTTTTGAGACAGGATGTTTTAAAAACTAGGATATTAACTTTTTAAAAGTAAAACTATCAGGTCTGAAGAGATGGCCCATTGGTTAGGAGCACTGGCTGCTCTTCCAGAGGACCTGGGTTTATTTCCAGCACCCACATGGCAGCCCACCACTATAAACTCGAGTTCAGGGGATCTAACAGCCTTTTCTGGCCTCCATGGGCACTGCGTGCAGATGGTGGACAGACACATAGGGCAGAGCATCCACACACAGACACATGGGGCAGAGCGTCCACACACAGACACGTGGGGCAGAGCATCCACACACAGACACATGGGGCAGAGCGTCCACACACAGACACATGGGGCAGAGCGTCCATACCCACAGACACGTGGGGCAGAGCGTCCATACCCACAGACACGTGGGGCAGAGCGTCCATACCCACAGACACGTGGGGCAGAGCGTCCATACCCACAGACACGTGGGGCAGAGCGTCCATACCCACAGACACGTGGGGCAGAGCGTCCACCCACAGACACGTGGGGCAGAGCGTCCACCCACACAGACACGTGGGGCAGAGCGTCCACCCACACAGACACGTGGGGCAGAGCGTCCACCCACACAGACACGTGGGGCAGAGCGTCCACCCACACAGACACGTGGGGCAGAGCGTCCACCCACACAGACACGTGGGGCAGAGCGTCCACCCACACAGACACGTGGGGCAGAGCGTCCACCCACACAGACACGTGGGGCAGAGCGTCCACACACAGACAGTTAAAGGGGAAGAATGTGTTCCGTGACACAGCCAGGAGAAAAGGTGAAAACCAAAACAGAAGTACCCTTCACTGAGGTTTGGCTTATATAACACACGATTCACATTTTAATAATGTAGTGTGGATATTGTTAGTAAATATGGTGAACTGTTACTACTGTTTTAGAACATTTCCATCATCCCTCAAAGGGCTGCTAGGTGCTCATTCGAAGTGACTTCTGACCCCAGCCCCAGACAACCAGTAATCTCCTTTCTGTCTACATATTTGCCTTTTCTGGACAGTTGCTGTAGACAGACTTGTATATAGAGTGATCTTTTATATGTGGCTTATTTTACTTTATATGTTGTTTTTATCCATGTTTTGGGATGAATCAGTACTTTATTGCCAAAAATTATTCTTTGTTTTATGGATGTATCACCATTTACTTATTTATTGGTTGATGGAGTTTGAAATAGGATCTTGCTACATAGCCAAGTCTGGCTTGAATTCACTAGGTGGGTCAGGGTAGTCTTAAATGCAATAATTCTCCTGCCTCTACCTCCTAATTGTTTTTCTTTCTATTGAATAGAGAACTTAAGAATGGAATTTCTGGACAGTGTGAATTTATGTTCAGCTTTTAAAGAAACTATTAAAGTATTTTACTCTTGTGATGTGAACTGCTTTAATTTCTGTGTGTTGTTAGGCCACTATAGAAGGGTTACTGGAACACACACACTGCAGTGTCTTGGTAGTGATCTGACAACCTAGGCAGTTACTTCAGAACTAACATATGGGTAGTATATACAGAGTAGATATACTGGAATGAGATGACTCATGGCCCAGGATGGACAGAACAAGGTAGAGTTCATCATCATATTCAGAATTGTGGTCAGTATAAAACTGAATTTGCTGGGACATGGTGGCAAACACCTTTAATCCTAGCACACAGGTGGAGGAGACAGACTGATTTCTGAATTCTAGCCCAGCCAGAAATACATCAACCCTGCCTCAGAAACAAGCACGATTTATGAATTGTTTCTGGGTTTTTCATGTAATTTTTTAGGAACATAGGTATCTGAAATCATGGAGAGCAAAAATCACCGGAAAGGGGCTGTTACACTCTTTTTTTTAATCCAACTTTTGAGTTCTCTTAGGACTTAGAACTCTTGTGGCGCCGGGAAGATGATTCAGTAGGTAAAGGGTTTGAGGAATTGAGCTTGGATCCCAAGCCAGGGTACTGGGGAGGCAGAGACAGGATGATGCTTGGGACTAATTGGCCAATCTGGAAAGCTGGTGATCCCTAGGTTCAGTGAGAGACTCGGTCTGAAGGTTTGGTGGTGGTTGTGGTGGTGGGGGGCAAGATGAGGGGGAGACACCACAAAGTGGTAAAGTCCCTTGCTGTGAAACCTAACAGACTTGAGTTCAGTCCCTGACACCTGTGATGGAAGGAAAGAACAGAGGAATCCTGAAAGTTGGCTTTTGACCTCCATATATGGGCCATGGTCCATGCATTTACATACACATATGCACAAATACTAATAAATGCAATTTAAAAATCACCCCTCTTTCTGTCGCAGCTTCCATGATGCATTGTTGTAATAGCATGATTACTGGCTTGCCACTGTCTTTGGCCTAAACTCTTATATAATAGTAAGTTCAATAAATGTTTGTTAAATGGCTAAATTACAAGATGAAGTAGTGGGGGAATAGTGGTGTATTATTTAAAAATCTAGAGATTAGGGCTGGCAGGATGACTCAGCAGATAAAGGTGGTCGTCACACAACTCTGGCTGCCTGAATTGGATCTCCAGAACCCGCATAAAGGTGAAAGGACGACTCCACAGAGTTGTTCTCTGACCTCACATCATGCGTACATACACCAAAGTAATAACAACAACAAAATCTAGACATTCAAGATCCAAATGTGGTTGTAATAGTGTTAGGAATAGTTCCTGGGTACATGGTGTTTTATATACTTAGGTATTACAAGCCCTTTATGTTATTAGTATTATCATTATTTTGAGAAATGTTATTACCATAGTCCAAGACCGGCCTGGAATTTACTGTGTAGCCAGTCTTTCTGCCTCAGTCTTCTGACTGAGGGTAAAGGGGTGAGCTGCCATGTCCAGCTTTGTGTTTCTTTGTGTTAGTTAGAAAAACATGGGCTTGGGGATTTAGCTCAGTGGTAGAGCGCTTGGCCCTGGGTTCGGTCCTCAGCTCTGGGAAAAAAAAAAAAGCAGAAAAACGTGTAAAAGATAATGCTTTGTGGATGTGATTGTATGCTGTCAATTAGTGTTCTTTAAAGTAAAATTAACAGATTTCTACTCCCTTCTCTTTACATAATTATGCACAAAAAGTCATTAGTAGTGGAGATTAAAAAAAAAGGCCCTTTGCAAACCCTAGCACTCTCCACAATCGCGTAACAGATTTCCTAAGGAGGACACCCCTCTGCCCCCCATACACATATCTACTTACTCAAACAGGGAACTGATTGAGAGGACAGAGCACATACACTATCAGAGTCCTACTTGGTGAACCAGTGAGTTTTATTAGGGTTATTTACAGGAGCAGAAGGACTCAAAAGACAGCTGCGTCACCAAAGCTGAAAACCTAGTAGGCAGCTCAACTGGCTGGGGAGTGTCCTTTCCAGATGGCTCAGCTGGTTTGGGCCTCTTCCAGGGAGCTCAGCTGGTCTCTGTTCCCAGGGGGCTTGTCTGAGTGTGACTCTTAGCAGTCATTACTATTTATTTATATATTCTTGGGGAAAGAGAGACCTAGTGAGTCTGGCCAGTTTCAGGGACTTCCTGTAGCTGGTTTGAGTTGTTTACTTTCTATCTTGAGCTTCCCTGCAGGATGGAATGTTTTATCTCCAGGAAGCTGCTACTCAACCACAATCCTCTTAACATATCAGTTAGTCTGCATTTGTCTGGTCTTTGTGTGTATAATCTTAAACTAGGGTCTATTGTAATATTAACTGTCAGAGCTGGGGAGATGGCTCGGCTGATAAAGGGCTTGCTGTGTGATCGAGGATACCTGAGTTTGGATGCCCAGCCCCTTAATAAAGGGGAGACAGACAGGAGGCTCCCTCAGCCTGGCTGGCCAGCCCTTCTTGCCAGTCAGTGAGATCCAGGTTCAATGAGAGCAGTAGAAGAGACCTGCTACCCCCCCCCCGGCCTCTGCATGCACACACACACATACACCAACACATACACACAAAATAAAACGGTGAACTTCAGAATACAAAATATATTCTGTTTTGTAGTAGTATTAAGTGGCCTTTTAATCCAGTAAGATGACTGGTATATTTAGTGAAAGGTGTATTTTCATTTTTTTTTAATATTGGAAGTAATCTGTGTCCCCTGAGCTTCTTTGTTTTTACTTTTTGCAGTGCTGGGAATTGAACGGAGGGTGTGCAGAGTTCTCAGCCCCAGCTGCTTGCTAGCTTCCTTTTTCAGAGTCAATCTGTTTCATTTACTTTTTCTTTGAACAGTTATTTTTGTGTATGAGTGTTTTGACTGTGTATGTGTACGTATATCACAGGCATGCAGTGTCTGCGGAGGGCAGAAGGGGGCGGTGGATCTCTTGGAACTGGTGTTACAGACAGCTGTAAGCTACTGTGGGGATACTGGCAACTGAACCTGAGTCCTCTGAGAGAGCAGCAAGTGCTTTTAACTGAGCCATCTTGACAACTCCTGTTTCATTTGCTTTTTAAGATGTAATTAAACATTTCTTTAACAATTTCTTTATGTGTATAGGTATTTTGCCTTCATGTATGCCCATGCACGACATTCATGCCTGGTGCTTGGGGAGACCAAAAAGGGCATTTGATTGCCCTGGAACTGGAGTCATAGATATGAGCTGCCATGTGGATATTGGGAATTGAACCTGGGTCCTCTGGAAGAGCAGCAAAAGTTCTTAATCCTGAGCTATCTTTCCAACCCCCAATGTAGTTTTTAAAAATAGCATATAAAATAATGGATTTCTTTATGACATTTTTATGCGTGTATAGAGATGATTTATTCTGAGATAATTTCCTAAAGTAAATTTGTAGCTGTTGTTAATGGCTTGAAGGTAGTGTAATGGTTTTCTTAGATTTTCTCAGAGGTAATAGCAAAGCAATATTAATATTGTAAAATACATTATCTGCATAGCCATAAGAGCACTTGCTGTTCTTGAGAGGAGTGAGCCAGGCTTAATTCTCTATATGTACATGGCCCTCATCTGATGCCCTCTTCTGGCCTGTATGGGCAACAGGCATACAGATAGTGCACACAAAACCAGGCAAAACATCCATGTGCATTTAAAAAAATAATAAAAGGAAACTTCTATATTTTTCTATTTTAGCCAGGGTCTTGCTGGCCTTGGTTTGTGGCAGTCTTCCTGCCTCTGCTGGGATTACAGACATTACACCTGACATAAAACTATCACATTCTTTTTTTTTTTTCTTTTTCTTTTTTGGTTTTTTGAGACGGTTTCTCTGTGTAGCTTTGTGCCTTTCCTGGATCTCGCTCTGTAGACCAGGCTGGCCTTGAACTTAAAAAGATCCGCCTGCCTCTGCCTCCCAAGTGCTGGGATTAAAGGCATGTGCCACCACCGCCTGGCTACATTCTTTTTTTTTTTTTTTTTGAAGTGTGTGTGTGTGTGTGTGTGTGCGCGCACGCGCGCACGTGTTTCCATGAAATGTGTATAGAGGCCAGAAGACAAGTGCAGGTGTCTTTCATTGATGTCCATCTGGAAACAGTGTCTTGTTGCTGTGTAACCTGGCTAGCTGGCCCATGACCATGAACTTCAGGAGGTTGTCGTGTCTTTGCTATAGGAGCCTTGAGTTCTGGAGATCTGGATTTGGGGTCTCATGGTATGGCAAGTACTTTACCCACTGAGTGATCTTTCAATCCCAAACTGCCACAGTTCTTAATAGGTCTTGAGTCTCTAATGCTATTATTAGAGCCAAGTGTGGCAGTGTAACAAGTAATCCCAGTACTTGGGGAGTGGCCGTTCAAAATGAACAAAACAAAACACCCAAAACCCAAACGTGTGTATGTATTCTTTTTATGGATTATTATCTGTCAGCTCTAACAAAACCTTCTCACCTTTCTTTGCAATTTTCTGTGTTGAGTATCTTTAGGTCTGGAGAATGTGAATAAGAGAAGTAAAAATAATGAGCCAGGCATGGTGGCACACATCTTTATTCCCAGTACTTGGGAGGCACAGGCAGGTGGATCTCTGAGTTTGAGGCCAAGCCTGGTCTACACAGAGTGAATTCCAGGACAGCCAGGGCTACATAGAGAAACCCTGTCTCAAAAAACCAAAAGTAAATAAATAAAATAAGAAAATACTGTCTTCAATCAGTTTTAAAATACTGGATTTTAATAAATAGGGACTCTGTGCCGTGGTGGCACATGCCTGTGATCCCATCGTTTTGGAGGCTGAGGCAGTATGGTTGCTTCAAGATTGAGGTCAGCCTGGGTTACATATCAAGGCTATCTCATCCCCTTCTTCCTGCCATAACAAAGGGACTCTGTAGTGGAAATGTTCTCCCCTCCCCCCAAGACAGGCTGTGTAACAGCCCTGGCTGTCCTGGAACTCACTCTGTAGACCAGGTTGGCCTCAAACTCACCCACCTGGCTCTGCCTCCCGAGTGCTGGGACTAAAGGCGTGCACCACCACTGCCCGACCTGGAAATGTTTTACTCTGCACATTTTAAGTAGGATTTTACTATCTAAACACTTGTTTTTAATGTGTGTGACCAGGCACAAGTTACTTACTTTAGCAGTTAGCTCTGCTTATATTGTAGTTTGCCTGGAAGCTGGAGTACTGCTGCTCAGTATTCCCAGTAGTGGGTGCTGGGAATAGTTCATCTAGTTTTTGAGATGCCGTGTTAGTAGACTGGTAGGTTCCCGTCATGAACTGTGTATTTAAGGAAGGACACACACACACACACAGAAGTGCTTATCTCACTTGGTTTCTACTGGAAATCTTTGAGCCACTCAAAGTCAGCATCAGTGTTGTCGTAAGGGTTGCCTTCAGCAAATTTTCATTTTCCTCAGGAGGCAGAGGGCTGTAAGCTTTTGTTTATCTTCTGAGGAGGGCTAGACCACCTCACTGTCCCGTTTTCTGATGTTGTCCATCATGCTCCTGAGAGGGTTGGGCTCGCTTTTCAAGTCCTTCACGGTTTTGTTCTTGGCACAACAGCAGCAGTCGAGTGCTTCGTAGAGGAAAGCCAGCACGACTAGGGACACCACGGTGAACATGAACAGAAGCAGGATGACAAAGCAGGCCGTGTTCCAGTTGTCGTGGAAAGGGTAGATGGTTTGCACTTGGAAGCCCAGGTCCTGGTGAACAGAGGGCGTGGTCTCGTTCCAGTGGCCAGAAGCCATCCTTGGGCCCCACTTGTTTACTGCTGTTTGGAATCTACGCAGAGGGAGATAATGAGTATTTGTAACCAAACTACAGACCTGTGCATTCACATCTCAGCGCTGAAGTTCCTTAGTGAATTCATATAGTCACCCTGGGCTTTACTTGCGGTCTAACAAAAGTCATGACTGAGCCGGCCGTGGTGGCACACGCCTTTAATCCCAGCACTGGGAGGCAGAGGCTGGCGGATCTTTGTGAGTTCGAGGCCAGCCTGGTCTACAGAACAAGATCCAGGAAAGGCACAAAGCTACACAGAGAAACCCTGTCTCGAAAAACCAAAAAAACCCACAAAAGTCATGAGTGAATTACATTTTAATTTTTTTGTGTTTATGCCAACCAGTAAATTATACCCTAGTTTTTATGGATTTCACTTATTAGATAGTATTTGTGTTTAAGACTCATACACACACACACACACACACACACACACAAAAAAAAATTTATGTATGGAATTTACTGCTAATAAAGGGTAAAACCCAGCAGCTTGATGCTTGACTAAAGCAGTAGTCGGTGAGCAGTTATCTTGTCATGTTTTGGGTGCTTCTCACCTGGTTTGGGGTGTTTCTGTCTCCTTTAGCCTCTTCTGTCAACTTCGAGCTGAATCTAGAAATTGTACCTGAATACAAAGTAACAGGAAGAGAAAAGCCAAATACTGACAGTTTTCAGTAGGAGGACAAAACAAAATTGTCTGAAGTGATGTTACTGTTGGGATTACTAGTTAGCTGTAGATAAAAGTCTTGAGTGTTTCCTAAGCCTAAGTGACTGGACAGTAATCTTTAAGTGGATAAATTTAGGGCTGGCCAGACGGCTCAGGAAGTAGAGTTGCTTGCTGCTAAGCCTAATGCCTGACTGTGATCTCCAGGATCTGTGTGGTGGATAGAACTGACTATGCAAGTTTCCCTCTGGCCTCCAAGGCATGGCAAATGCCACCCCCCCTCCCTCCCCAGGGTATTCAATTTTTTTTTTTTTTAGTTTTTTGAGACGGGGTTTCTCTGTGTGGCTTTGGTGTCTGTCCTGGAACTCACTCTGTAGACCAGGCTGGCCTCGAACTCACAGAGATCCACCTGAGTGCTGGGATTAAAGGCGTGCGCCACCACTGCCCGGCTTGATTTTTTTTTTTTTTTTTTTTTTTTTTTTTTTTTTGTTAAAGCAGATAAATTTAGTTTTTTAAGAAGTGTCAATTATTAATTTCATCAAGTAAGCTAATGAGTTACATTTCTGTTTTTAGACCAGTGGGTTCCTTCCTTGGCTCCTTTTTTTTTTTGTTTTAAACTTTTATAGCCCGTGGTGGTCCTAAATTTGATATGTAGTTAAGGATGATTTTGAACTTTGGATCTTTTTCTTTGCCTCTTTAGTGCTGAGATTATAATAGTACGTTACTATCCTTGCTAATTTCAGCATTTTTGCAGTGTTATTAACTTGATACTTGTTACGCCTTACCTGAGAAGGTGAAGATTGAAAAATTGCTAGTATAAAATATTGTAATTAGGGTTGGGGATTTAGCTCAGTGGTAGAGCACTTGCCTAGCAAGCGCAAGGCCCTGGGTTCGATCCTCAGCTTAAAAAAAAAAATAATGTAATTAATTTTAGTTTTCTTCTTTGGGATAGAGTCTCACTATGTAGCCTTGGCTGACCTGGAGCTTGCTGTGGAGACCTGGCTGACTTCAAACTCAGAGGTCTGCCTGCCTCTGATTCCCAAGTACTGGGATTAAAGGCATGTGCCACCATACCCAGTTTCCCATTATCTTGATTTTTTTTTTTTTAAAAAAATATTTTAAAGAGTTACTAAATACCTATCCAGTAAAAAAAAAAAAAAAAGAAAAAAGAAAAGAAAGGAAATAAAAACATGATTGTATTTCCTTAATTCTTTTATGCTTTTTCTTTACTACATACTTGTAAACAGTGTTTGTGTATTTACAACAAATGTTAATCACCCACTGTGTATGAGTGGTTTTTCTAAATTGTAGAGATGTCTTTTATGTGTATATTTTGTGTAAAGAAGACTTCAACATAGTACATGAAGAGTGTAATAACCCTGGCGTTGTTACACGCCTGTGATCCCAGCACTTGGGAGATGGATGCAGGAGGAACCTGAGTTTGAGGCCAGCCTAGGCTACAATGGGACTTCCAGAGAGGTCTCAGCTGTACAGTGAGACCTTTGTCTTAAAAGCAAAGAAGAGCGTATAATGAACCCTATGTGTTCCAAGTTGATGTTCATTTATCAGGGTTAGCCCTTCTGTGCCTTACCTGCTTGCTTCTGTCACATGCGTCATTGGGCATTATTCAGTCTAGAAATATTTCAGTACTTATTTCTAAAAGATGAAGATGTTTCTAAATAGAAGCATGGTGTTATTTCCATACCCAAACTGTGAAGTCATATTGGTTAAATTTGTCTTCCTATTAAACAGAATTTTATAACTTTTACCAAAGTTATGTTTTCTAAGGCTTTAGTTTGTTCTAAATCAAGTTTGTTTTATAAAATCCAACCTCTCTGGCTAGCCTCTTGCTTGCTTCCTTGTATTTGAATGTTAGATTTATTATCTGAAGTCATAAGTAAAGGCTTAAATGCATATTTTGTGTGAACTTAAGACTTCTGTTTCATGGTACTTGACTTCATTCTTTAGGGGGTGACAACATGCTTACTGGGTGGTATGTGATTGATTTTTTTTTTTAAGTTTTTTAAACTATTTTATATGGATTGGTGTGAAGGTGTCAGATCCCCTGGAACAGAAGTTACAGCCAATAAGCTGCCATGTGGATGCTGGGAATTGAACTCAGGTCCTCTGGGAGAGCAGCCAGTGCTCTGAACCACTGAGCCATCTCTCCAGCCCCGTAACAGATTTTTATTATTTCCGGGACATATAAAGTTACATCATCAGTGAGGTGTGCCACTTTGTACTACAGGATTTCAAAGTTACGTTATCGGGGACTGGAGAGATGGCTCAGTGGTTCAGAGCACTGGCTGCTCTTCCAGAGGACCTGAGTTCAGTTCCCAGCACCCACATGGCAGCTCACAACTCACAACTGTCTGTAATCAGTACCAAGTGATCTGACACTGTCATACAGACATACATGCAGACAAAACACCAATGAACATAAAATAGAAATAAATCAAAATTACCTTATCCTTGGAATGTTCTCCTCAGAAGAGCACTTTTTTTTTAATTTAAAATTGATTTTTCTCATATAATATATTGTGATAACATTCCCCCCGCCCCATATGCCTTCTAGTTCCTTCCCACTTTCCCTCCCATCTGGATCCATACCCTTCCTGTTTCTCCTTAGAAAACAGTTAGGCATCTCTGGAATAATAATGAAATAAGATGAAACAAAAACAAATGGGAATAATATAAAAACCAAACTAAAAAGAGCCAAAGGAATGCACAGGAAACAGATGCAGAGACACACCCACACACGTCGGGTATGCACACACAGGGATCCCATAAAAACATAAAACTGGAAGCTGTAATGTATATGCAAAGGACTTACAAGGCTCAAAAAAATGCCTTGACTTAACATTATGAGCCAGAGATCCTCCAAGGAAGCTATTGAGTTCCTTTGGTTTGGCCATCTACTGTTGTGCATGGGGCCTGCCCTTAAGAGTGGTTTGTTTCCCCAGTGAGACTCCTTGGAGAAAACTTAAGTTTTCATTCACAAGTGACTATCAGTTGGAGATAGCTTCTGGGTTAGGGATAAGAGTGTGTGTCCATTTCTCCTTTCAGTTCTAGGACCTCACCTGATGCACACCCTGCAGAGCACTTTTTTTTTTTTTTAAGATTTATTTATTTAATACAATGTTCTGCCTGCATGTATGTCTGTCTGCAGGCCAGAAGAGGGCGCCAGATCTCATTACAGATGGTTGTGAGCCACCATGTGGTTGCTGGGAATTGAACTCAGGACCTCTGGAAGAGCAGTCACTGCTCTTAACCTCTAAGCCATCTCTCCAGCCCCGCAGAGCACATTTTTATGGACAAACAAACAAACAAAAACAAAACGAGCTGCCTTGTGCTTTATGGTACCATTGTCATATAATAGTGCGGTGTTAAGTTGTACCTCTTATGTTGTGTGATGTGGATGCCGATAGGCTGATCCAGTCAGTGTATGTGTTGTCGAGGTCTCTGAGTCTAAACACCATGGACACAAATGTACAAATACTCAGAAACTTGGTTAGAGACGGAATTTAGGTGTGTGGGTGTGGTTAGGTGTGGTATATAATGTGTCATGGCTAGGTCCTTTTGACCTGGCTTCTTTAATAAAAGTACTTGAGATATGTACACACCTTCCATGTGACTTTACAATGTTTGGCTTTTGAAACACCTTTAAGGTTTATGACACTAGTATAATGTGAATATTCATGCAAGGAGCCTATGTTTTGTCACAGTTGTTTTTATGTTAACATGAATGAGTTTTCAGATTCTTTTTTCTTTTTTTGGGGGTGGGACTGGGGCGTTCTGAGACATGGTTTCTCTGTGTAACTCAGAAATTTGCCAGTCTCTGCCTCCCAAGTGCTGGGATTAAAGGCAGGCACCACCACTGCCCAGCTTCAGATTCTCTTTGAAGAGCAGAGGTAACAGTGATGGATAAAAGACCCAGACTTCAGGGACTGTAAAACCCAGAGGCTTGTTTGTGCTAGGAGCACCCTGCCATTGCCTTATATCCCCACCCTAGATAGTGTACTTTATTTACATGTGAAACTTCATATAGTCAGTATGCTTGCAATTACCGTGGAGTAAGAGTATGCTTACCAAAGGCACTTGTGTGTTTTGCTGGAAGTATCTGTTTAGAAAGGAGTGTTTGAGTGGTGGTTTGAATAAGAATGCTCCCCATCGGCTCATAGATTTGAATGTTCAGTCTCCAGGGAGTGGCACTATTTGAAAAGATGAGGAGGTGTGGCCTGGTTGGAGGAAGTGTGTCACTGGAGGTAGACTTTGACATTTCAGAAGCCCTGCCAGGCCCAAGCTCTCTTCTTGCAGATCAGGAGGTAGCTCTCAGCTACTGTTCCAGTGCCTGTCTGCCTGCTGCCATGTTCCTCACCATGATGATAGTGCTAAGCCTCTGAAACTGTCAGCAAGCTCCAGTTAAATGCTCTGTTTCCTGAGAGTTGCCGTGGTCAAGGTGTCTCCTCCCAGCAATAGAACAGTGACTAAGACAGTGTATTCCAAGCTTAGGTTGGTTGTTCGTTGGGACGTTTTGCCACTTTCGACAGTGTTGAAACTGGTGAGGAAGTCAAAACGTTGTTGCTGTGGCTAGCTCCTCTACATACCCGAAACGTTGTTGCTGTAGCTAGCTCCTCTACATACCTGAAACGTTGTTGCTGTGGCTAGCTCCTCTACATACCTGAAACGTTGTTGCTGTGGCTAGCTCCTCTACATACCCGAAACGTTGTTGCTGTGGCTAGCTCCTCTACATACCCGAAACGTTGTTGCTGTGGCTAGCTCCTCTACATACCTGAAACGTTGTTGCTGTGGCTAGCTCCTCTACATACCTGAAACGTTGTTGCTGTGGCTAGCTCCTCTACATACCTGAAACGTTGTTGCTGTAGCTAGCTCCTCTACATACCTGAAACGTTGTTGCTGTGGCTAGCTCCTCTACATACCCGAAACGTTGTTGCTGTGGCTAGCTCCTCTACATACCCGAAACGTTGTTGCTGTGGCTAGCTCCTCTACATACCCGAAACGTTGTTGCTGTAGCTAGCTCCTCTACATACCCGAAACGTTGTTGCTGTGGCTAGCTCCTCTACATACCCAAAACGTTGTTGCTGTGGCTAGCTCCTCTACATACCCGAAACGTTGTTGCTGTGGCTAGCTCCTCTACATACCCGAAACGTTGTTGCTGTAGCTAGCTCCTCTACATACCCGAAACGTTGTTGCTGTGGCTAGCTCCTCTACATACCCGAAACGTTGTTGCTGTAGCTAGCTCCTCTACATACCCGAAACGTTGTTGCTGTAGCTAGCTCCTCTACATACCTGAAACGTTGTTGCTGTAGCTAGCTCCTCTACATACCTGAAACGTTGTTGCTGTAGCTAGCTCCTCTACATACCTGAAACGTTGTTGCTGTGGCTAGCTCCTCTACATACCTGAAACAGGTTGCACCTGTGTGGTAGACGTCACGCCCCACCTTCAGTTTACTGTGTATTCCTTCAAAGTAGAGAGAAGCTCCAGCAATCTGTGTGTGTGTGTGTGTGTGAGATTTAAGGTAAAGACTACATTTTATGGCAACAGATTTGGTTTAACTAAGCATTCAAAAAGTACACCATCAAGATTTCCTATTCTAGACTACATTTTTCCAGTTAATGTTAAATTTGTTCAAGGAAATGCTGTAAGCATGTTATAAAAACGGGGAGAAAATGATTAAAAATAGAAACAATAATAGTCTTTTACTTGGTGGATCCTCCCTTTATAATTTTATTATAGGAATGGGAAGCCTTAAAGCAAATCATATAATTTTAGGTAGGTTTTATTGCATGTTATTTTTGTTATGTTCCTTTTACCTGTTCAGCTTTTTCAAGAGGCCCCAGTGGAATATTTATGGTCTTGTGGTTTTGGGACCCTGGATTACCAGATTAGAAATTATGATTTAGTTCTATTTATGGTAAAAACTTGTGAATTGAGTTCTCTGACACTTTTAAGTACATCACTTTGAAATACAATCAGTTAATCATAATAGCCTTTAAATATAGAGCAACTCATTTAAGCTCTGAGACTGTGAGATAGGGTGTACTTGAAAGATGACTTGGTGAACAGTAACGGCCTCCATTTATGCTAATTATAGACATGCTATATGAAAATGTAGGCCGTTAACCAAAGCTTAAACAATTTGAAATGGTAAGGTGTAAATTAACTTATTTGACAGTTGTTTTCTGTGTTACTTGGCTCCCATATTTCCTGTGGTCAGCAAGAATGGTTTCTAGGTAATTAACCTGCTGTGCTGAACCTGAGAGATGGAGTATCTTGTTACAGCAGCCTTTTGAGTTTTTCAAGATACTGTTTGTGTAACCTCAACGCTGATGAGGAAACAAAAGGAATACAAATTATGAAAACAGGAGAAGAAAACCAAACCTTAGTAGTAAATATCATATATTTGTACAAATATAGCACCGAGGTGAAGGGTGAAAGGTGGACATTGAGGTAGTTATGTACAGTATATCGTGGGGAGCTAGCATCTACTAAAGATTGTCATCTTCAGATACTATTTACAGAAATTTGGCTGATTACTCTGAGCCAGGAGAATAATTTTACTACATATTATTACTGTTCTTTCTTAACCAGCTCTTCTTAGGACACATTTAATTTTAAAATGTAGTTTATCAAAAATTTGTATGTATCTATTACCAGTTTAAGAATAATTTATTTTAAATTTTTATGTGGCTTATGTTGAAAAGATATTTTAAAAGATTTTTGTGTAATAGCATGGCTTATATTTTATGGTAAGATAGATTTTACTGTGAGGAATTATTTTAATTAAAATGTTGGGGAAATCTGACGTTCTATAAATTATCTTTGCTTATAGTATAATACAACTCACATAGTGATACATGTTAAAGTGTTTTTAATATAAAAATTATAACTGGTATTTTCTTGGCATTCTCTGTATTAGTACTCAAAGTCAAATACAAATAATTTGAATTATCTTCTCATTTATTAAAATAGAAGCTTTCTCCATAACTGCTTTTTACCAGGCAATATAATTTGTACATATAATCAGAAAGCTTTAGCCAAGGCTTTGCTATTATTCTAGATATTTTTCTTTGAGAAACATCCTTTGTTAAGACAGACTGGACTTCTGAAATGAATTTGCTTTGAGAAAATGAAATTAGCAAAGACCCAGGTTAACATCGAATGCTTTTGTCTTACTTAAGGTCCGAATAGATCAGATTAGTAGAAAATGTAATGAATTTTCCATTAAGGGACAGATGGTAAGGATGCTTATCAAATAGCACAGGGCAGTCGTCATTTTCATGATAAAATCCTACAAAATAATGGGTTAATACATTGCTTTTATGTTTTCTGTAGGCATAATGCTTTCTGCTTGATTTTTTTTTTTCATGGTAAAATATTTTCCTACTGCTCCCGAAGGATATGGATACTGAATAAAAAGGATCAAATAAGCCTACCTCTTGTCTGGAAAGATGCTGCTGAAGCGATGGTATCGTCTGTTAGTAATGCAGTCTAGTGCACAGCCAAGATGGAGCTGTGCTTCTATTGGTTGGACGCATAATGCAGCTGACAGTTTCCTCTGTGCTCATTTGCATGAAATCCTGCCGTCCTGAGGAGATCATTCATAAATTGAATAGAGCTATCTGGGGTATCGGCTGCCACCCCTCTTAAAAATGTTTTTTTGTCTTTAAGCTAATTTTTCACATAGAAACAGATTGATGATTTCTTCGTTTTTTTTTTTTTTTTTTTTTCCCTATAAAATTTCACATCCCTCTGAATAGTTCAGTGCTGGGACTAGAATTCAGTCTCTAGAGGCAGTTACCTAGGAAACAGCAGCCCAGGTTAACCACCTTGGTAAAATGCTAACAGGAAATGGATATAAAATCCCATAAATAAGCTTAAAATTAACAAAAAAATTGTTTTGTTTTCCCTCAATATGTTCTCAAGTCTTGACTTCTGGAGTTATGAACAAATAGTGCTTGTATTTGGGAGAAATTTTGAGGGAACAGAAATAATGCTTTAGTTCTTTTTTTGTTTGTTTGTTTTTTTCCGAGACAGGGTTTCTCTGTGTAGTTTTGTGCCTTTCCTGGAACTCACTTTGGAGACCAGGCTGGCCTCGAACTCACAGAGATCCGCCTAGTTCTTTAAGTTAGAGTTAGTTTAGGTAGTTAGTTTTTTATTTTTTTTTTTCTATTCTAAATCTTAAGGTATGTTTTTAGTTTACTGACTGTTCATTGTCATTTTTAGTTATGGTGATAAGAGTTTAGCCTAATAGCAGAATCAAGAATTATTTTTAATTAAAGGAATAGCTCCTTTTTTGTTTTATTTTATTTTATTTTGGTTTTTGGAGACAGGGTTTCTCTGTGTAGCTTTGCTCCTTTCCTGGAACTCACTCTGTAGCCCAGGCTGGCCTTGAGCTCACAGAGATCCGCCTGGCTCTGCCTTCGAGTGCTGGGATTAAAGGTGTGTGCCACCACTGCCCGGCTTTTTAAAATTAAAAAAAAAAAATTATATTTTTATGTGTACTGGTGTTTTGACTGTGAGGGTGTTGGAGTTGCAGACAGTTGTGAGCTGCCATGTGGGTGTTGGGAATTGAACCCTAGTCCTTTGGAAGAATAGTCAGTGCTTTTACCTCTGAGCCATCTCTCCAGTCCAAGGAGTAGCTCTTAAAAGGGGAGAGCTGGGCATGGTGGTGCACACTTTGAATTCCAGCACTCAAGAAGCAGAGGCTGGCCTGGTCTGCATAGTGAGTTCTATTGTTGAGACAGGGTCTTCTGTAGCCCAGGCTAGCCCTGGACTTCTTAAGTAGCAGAGTATGAACTTAAAATTTTATATATATATATATATATATATATATATATATATATATATATATATATATATATATAAATATAAATGTTGTGTTTGTGTGTATGGATGCCCTTGGAGTCCAGAAGAGAGGGTATTAGATTCCCTGGAGCTAGAGTTCCAGAGTTGTGAGCTGCCAGATGTAGGTGTTGAGAACTGAATTCGTGGCCTCTGGAAGAACAGCAAACAGGTTTTTTTATTTTAATTTTTTGAGATAATATAATTATGCCATTTCCCCTCTCCTCTTTCCTTCCTCTGACCTTTCCCATGTACCTCTTCTTTTGTCATCCTCCTGCCTCAGCCTACCAAGTTATAAGATTATAGATTATGCCAGCACCCCTGGCTTTTGAAATCGTGTGGAGAGGCACATCAGTAAGGCATTCTTAATATTACTGTTAGTTTTGGAAGCATAGTAGACTTTAATGTGCCGATCGAGTTACTTTTCAAAAGTATGAGCTATTTCTAAGGGAAAATTCCAAAAGACATTACATTTTAGTATCAAAGGACAGAAAACATTCAGTAAACACTTTTTACTGATTTCAAAAGGGGTATTATGTGGCATCTAGAATCTGTTTTGGATCTCTGACAATTGCTATATTTGACTTGTGGTTGTGTTAATGCAATCTTCTGTTGAAATGGTTATTACCAAGCTGATGCCAGAGATGGCTTCCCCTTCTTTTTTCTTTAACCCCACACTCCTTGTGTATCAGCTGTGTGGGCAGTTGGTATCTGACCTGATGGCTTGCTAATAGAATGTGTGCTTCGAAAATGCTTTTCTTGTATTTATAGTGAATTCTGTAACGTTTCTGTCTGGCTCAAATGCATTGTGATACAGTGATGGCATCAGGGCTCTGTCTGTAGGGCGGCGACAAATGGTAAACATTTTGAAACAGTATGTAAAGATTTCTGAGAGAGGAAGTTGGGGGGTAAGGGAGATAAAGAGGGCATTATGGGGGCGATAGATATCCATCCATCCATCACTCATTTCTTACACTTATAATGTTCTCTTGTCTAATTATTGGAGGACTCTAAGCAAGTTTAAGGTGGGAGTTAGAATGTTATCAAGGTACTTGCAAGAGAATTGTATTTTGAGCTGGGTTTGGTAGCACAGGCCTTTAATTCCAGTTGAGGAGGCTGAGGCAGGTGGATGGATCTCTCTGATTTGGAGGCTAACATGATCTACTAGTTAAGACTCTTATCCCAAAACAGACAACAACAAATTTGTGTTTGTATTTTGGGCTAGGGGTATAGCTCACTGTTAGAGTGCTTGCCTAATCCATACAAGGCCCTGAATTTGAGCTCCAGCACTCTCCTTCCCCAAACTATTTTAATGCTTTTAAATTATATTTAGCCTAGTATATGTCATAATCTTATAGTCCCAGCACTTTGGAGGCTGAAGTGGAGGATGGTGAGTTCAAGACTAATGTGTCTAGAGTGAGACCCTCTCTCTAAAGAAGGGTGGGTGAGTGGTGGGAATTGATGATTCAACAAACATATGTGGATTTTGTGAGTTTTGCCAGAATATTACAGGATAGACTTCATTAGATGAAATAATTCAAAGAAAAATATTTTACTAAAGTTAAAATCATTTTCATTGCTCAAGTCATAATAGCATATTATATGAAAATGTTATAATAATTCTTTTGAACTTTATTTCCAGATCATAGCAATGGATCATTTAACTTGAAAGCACTATCTGGAAGCTCTGGATATAAGTTTGGTGTTCTTGCGAAGATTGTGAATTACATGAAAGTAAGTACTCACATAACAAAAGTCCCTGTGGGTTTTTGACAAAATAAAAAGGGAGTTAGAAGATAGGGTTTTCAGAAGTTAGGTATTTATATAAATATGCCAAGATTTATCAAATTATTCATTTTAGTATGTGTAGTTTATTATATGTTGATTATACTTCAAGAAACCCCTAAAATATTTAATGTTTCCAGTCTTTTGCCCTCCGTTAAACTGACATTACAGTAATGCACTCAATTATGTTTAATTTACATTATAGTCAAGTATACAACTTAAGCTCACCAGTTGACTTAAAAAGAGTACGTCCATGCAGTAGACACATGGCCCAGAAAGACATCTATGAGAAGATGGGGGTTGTTTTTAAGCTAGTTCCTTCATTCATATGAGAAATAAAAACTACACAGTTCAAGCAGATGATGGCGACTGTTTCTCTGCTTGGAGGTGAAGAAACTCACCGAGGATCTTCGGAAACGTTGACTCAAAAGAATTAGGAGCTGGGTGTTGGCTGTGTCTGAATTGTGGAGTTTGTACTTGATTTCCAGTAGGAACATCTTAGTTTGTATTTCTCAGTATCAGATGACAGTAAATTTTGACTGTTCAGCCCGCTCACCTATTGCCCTCTGTGTTAAACCGTTATGAACATCTTCTGATAGTTGGATAACTCCTGGAGCTGTCAGTCAGTCAAAGGAAACTGACATTGTTTTTGGCTTCTGATTTGAGTTGCTTTGCAATTATTGATAAGAAGTTGATTGGGGTAGGTTGATTCAGTTTGATTTGTATGTTAACAGTGATCCATCCCTCAAGGAAATGAATGTAATCCTTTTCTTTTGGTAGTTACTGCTTGTTAGTTATTGGCAGGATGATAAAGTGGAATGTGGCACCAAATCTGCTGTTTTTAGATTTTGTAGGTTGAAGTGCAGAGAAATGAATGTTCATAAAGCCAAGTTAATTCTAATAGAGGTTTTGTGATGAGCACAGTTGTCTAGGTCATGTGCCACAAACCACCTGGATCTTCAGTTTTGCGGCAGCCATCATTTGACACACACAACAGTGGGGACAACTAACTGTCAGAGGATTTGGTGTCTGCTCAGTAACTGTTTCCTTTCTCAGCACACACACACACACACACACACACACACACACACACACACACACACACACACACACCAAAAAAAAAAAACAAACCCAAACCAGAAAGACAGATGTAAGAACTTTGAAATCATAACCCAAGAGTATGAGGCATAGGGTTTGACTGTCCATTGTATGAGATTCACATGTGTTTATTATGTCATAACCCAGTCATTTAAGACAGAAACTGAGACAAGAGGGTTCCACTGTTACTGGGACTGCTTAGGAAAATAGAGGCACTTTATGGCCCATTTTAGAAGAATTTAAAAAGTAGTTCATATGAAACACATTTTTCTTGTTTAAATAAAGAAGTCTTAAAAGTGCTTGGAACTGTTCTGAAGACTGTCTTATGCGGGATGCTTTCTTCATGAGATTCTGGGTACCCTGAAGGCCACTGCTGTTCTTCAGCTGCTGAGTCTCCCTCCAAATTAGTGAGCAGTGCAAGGACTGCCTGCCCATATCTAGCTAGCTTTCCTTTGATTTCTTCTCACTCAGTTAATGATTGTGTGTGTGTGTGTGTGTGTGTGTGTCTGTCTGTCTGTCTGTCTGTCTCTGTCCGTCCATCTGTCCAGGTCTGGGGATTGAACAGAAAGCACTTCTGCACTTAGCTGTATCTCCATATTTTCTACCTTTTACAAGGTCTCAATTAAGTTGTCCATACTGGCCTTGAACTTGATTCTCCTGCTTTAGTTTCTCAAGTACCTAGGACTATAGGCTTATGCCAGCAGGCCTGGCTTAAACTTGTCTTTATTTATTATGTATACAGCATTCTGTCTGCATGTTTTCCTGCACACCAGAAGAGGGCGTCTGTTTTCATTATAGTGGCTGTGAGCTATCATGTCATTGCTGGGAATTGAACTCAGGACCTCTGGAAGAGTAGTCAGTGCTCTTAATCTCTGAGCCATCTATCCAGCCCCGTAAATTTGTCTTTTTTTTTGTTGTTGTTCTTAAGATTTATTTATTTATTATGTATACAGTGTTCTTCCTGCATGTATGCCTGCAGGCTAGATGAGGGCACCAGATTTCATTCTAGATGGTTGTGAGCCACCATGTGGTTGCTGGGAATTGAACTCAGGACCTCTGGAAGAGCAGTCAGTGCTCTTAACCTCAGAGCCATCTCTCCAGCCCTGTAAATTTGTCTTTTTAAGAAATATTTTTTTCACCTAAATTTTATAGATACATGTCTAACTTGGCCCCAATACTGGGAGCTTGGGAAAGTGTAAGTATAATTGGCATTTATTTCATTGTGTCTCATCTCTGCATCTTTAGAATATAGTAGTCAATGCTAAAGACTTGGGTGAATGAAGAGCAAATGCGCAGTTAATGTTTTTTGTTTGGGGTACATTAGATTTTATGGGTTTTTTCCTGCTTTTCATGGAACATTTTAGTTGTGAAAAGTTGAGAATTAAGAGTTTTACAGGGCCGAACTGAGGCCCAAAGAGGTTCTGTTGCTACCTGAGGTAGAGCCTTGCAGTTATTTTTGTTTTGAATAACGAATATATCTCTTAATATAAAATGTAGAATAATATAAAAAGGTTCATACACAGAGGTCATTCTTTTTTTTTTTTTTTTTTTTGGTTTTTTGAGACAGGGTTTCTCTGTGTAGCTTTGCGCCTTTCCTGGAACTCATTCTGTAGACCAGGCTGGCCTTGAACTCACAGAGATCTGCCTGCCTCTGCCTCCCGAGTGCTGGGATTAAAGGCGTGCGCCACCACCGCCCGGCCACAGAGGTCATTCTTACTCCTAATCCTAATACCCTGTCCACCTTTAGATTGTGGATGTGTTCCAGGAGAAGCCACTTTTTTTTTTTTGTTTGTTTGTTTGTTTGTTTGTTTGTTTTTTTTTTCGAGACAGGGTTTCTCTGTGTAGCTTTGCGCCTTTTCCTGGAACTCACTTGGTAGCCCAGGCTGGCCTCGAACTCACAGAGATCCGCCTGGCTCTGCCTCCCGAGTGCGAGAAGCCACTTTTTAAAACATTTCCCTTCACCTCCAGGTACACACCAAAATGAATGTGGTAGTTAATATTAGAATCACAGTGTCTTCTGAGACGCCTGTTCAGGAGCCACATCCTCTTCTGAGTCACCTTCTTTGACATTCATGAATCTCCAATACCCTTCTGCTTACCTATGTGCCTCTTCTTTTAATAAGCCTAGGTGTTTTTGATATCAGACCCCAGAATAAGACAAGTTTTCAGGTATGAGTCCGTCTCCAGTGAGCATTGATGATTTCATTGTTTGTGCTCAGCCTGAGCTTTTTGCACAGTGGAGGACACTAGAGGCAGCCTTTTGTCAAGTATGAGCATATGTATGACTGTGGTCCAGCAGGGAAAGGGCCACGAGAGAACTTCTCTGCTTAAAACCTCTGTGTGGAGCTTGTGGTGTGCTGCAGTTATTGTTCTTGTTGATGTTCATGGTCAGGCCATTAGAGTGCATTTTGTCTTCCTTGAGGGTTGCCTGTTTCCTTGTACCTTAACCAGTGGGCGCATCAGACATTGCACTTTCCTGATCTGAATCTTTTTCTGTTAATCTGTGTTTCCCTCCAAGTTTTTTTTTTTCTTTTTAATTGACTCTTAAAATGACTAGGAAAATGTGTTGTTGCTGTTGACCTCCTTTTCAACACATTTCCATCTTGTTATGTAGCCTCCATTAGTTTTGAACTAATCATGTAGGTCAGGCTGGACTTGAACTTATCATGTAACCTAGGCTGGTCTTGAACTTGTAATTTTCCTGCCTCAGCCTTCTACATGCTGGGGTTACAGGTGTGTATCCCCACTCCTGGTTTACGGGTTAGTTTGTGGTATTTTTGTTTTCCTTCCGAGTTTAATGTTTGATTTTTATCACTCTGGTTTTGTATGCTTTCATGTTCTTAAATCTGGTATTCATACTTACTACCTCAGATAATATGTGTTGTACATTCCTGAAAAGATTAGTTTATGACTGTGACTTAATGCACTTAACATTTGAAAACTTCCCTCAATAGACACGGCATCAGCGAGGAGATACATATCCTTTAACTTTAGAAGAGATTTTGGATGAGACACAACACTTGGATATTGGACTCAAGCAGAAACAATGGCTAATGACTGAGGTAAGAATAGGCTCAAATCTGTTGTAAAAAATAGGTAATTACGAAAAGAGGTATTTGCTACAGTTCTTTAGAGGTTTTTTTTTTTGGCGGGGGGTGGGGTGGAGAGTGGGGTTGGGGGGTGGAGAGTGGGGTTGGGGGTGCTAGAGATAAAACCCCGGGCCCAGCATGTGCTAGGACATTCCACTACTGATAGAGCACTCTGCCATTGGATCTCCAACCTGTAGACGTGTTTTATTGTTTTTCTGGGGGAGCTGAGGTGTCTGTGTGCCTATGTGCCTATGTGAGTAGGGGATAGAGGGGGAGGGAGGGAGTCAGGGAGAAAGGGGCAGGAAGCAGGTGCAGGTCTCATTTTATAGTCCCAGCTGACTTCTGACTAGGACTTCATGAGTCGTCATGCCTGGCTCAGAGTGTTTTTTAATAAATACTGTCATCTGATCATATTTTTACTTTTTCTTAAGACTTGATATAGAGCCTTTGTTTAATTTAAACATACACATTTCTATAATTTGTTTAGCTATTTTCATATAATTTTATTTATGTTTTAAAATGTCTTTTAAGATTACATTAAAGTTGTGAAGTCAATTACCAATTTTGTTATAAATAGTATTTTGAATTATTAAACTCATAACTTTATATGCCCATTAATTGTATATTGTATATATGCTTTAGAAAAATTAAAAGCCTATAATGTTAGGAACAGTAAAACATACTGTTGCATTATGACCACTATATAGTTTGATAGCTGAGTTACCTCTAGTTATTTAGAAAAATGATCACGAATGTTATATTTAAATACTCACCATTTGAAGAAAGCCTGAAACAGTCGCCGACCATGCCGGTTTGCCAGTGAGTGACTTCTGTTTGGGTGTTTGCTTCTTTAAGTTGATGCTGAAGAATCCTACTTTTCGGGACCAGGAATGAGAGTGTGAGGATCAAATAGGAGCTGGGATGTAGTGGCACATGCCTGTAATTCCAGCACTTGAGAGGGAAAGGCAGGAGGATCAAAAGTTCAAGGACATCATCAGTTCCAGAGTGAGTCCAAAGCTGGTCTGGGCTGCAGTTAAAAAAAAAAAAAAACCAACAAATAAACAACAACTCCCCCCCCAATACTCCCTAAATAACCAGATGTAATAATTTCATTGATTTATTTGAGGCAGGGTCTCACTCACAGAGCTCCTCCTGCCTTTGCCTCTCAAATGCTGGGATTAAAGACATGTGGCCCCATCACTGGCCTAGTTCAGTTCTTTTACCAAGGAAGGTGTAGTTCTTGATTTTTGTACTATAAAGTGGTGATCTAGCCCGAATTATTGAAGGTCACAGTCTTCTATCAGTTATTTGGCCACTGCTAGAAGCAGCACCTGCCTGAGGTCATTGGGTTTTTGTTTTATTCTTTTAAGTCTTGTTTTTTTTTTTGTTTGTTTGTTTGTTTGTTTGGGTTTTTTTGGTTTGGTTGTTTTTTTTTGTTTTGTTTTTTGAGACAGGGTATCATTGTATAGTCCTGGCTATCCTGAAACTCAACTATGTAGATCATGCTGGCCTCAAACTCACATAAAAATCCACCTGTCTCTGTCTCTTCAGTGCTGGGATCAAAGGTGTGTGTGACTTCTGGCTCAAATGATACTCTGTAGTTCAGGCTGACCTCACACTTGGCTGACCTCACACTTGGCAGCAGTCTCCTGCCTCAGCCTCCTAGGTGCTGAGATTATAGGTATGAGTCACCACAACTAGCTTATATCTAAGATTTTAGCAACATTAAAGTTTTTAATTTTTTAAAATTTTATTTACCATTATTAGTATAGGGTGGGTAGAGTTGGTTATCTAATTCCCACCTTTACCAGGGATTCAACTTGGGTCATGAGACTTTTGTGGCAAGTGCCTTTAACCTCTGAACCCAGTCGACAGCCCAAAGACTATTTTTATTCTTCTTGTTCTTATTCTTACCTCTTTACACTAGAGGTAAAGTTCGTATGCGCCTTGGCACTGAAGAAAGAAGTATGTAGGCTTCCTTTTTCCTTTTGTCTTCTTGGTTCTGTGGATTGAACTCAGGACTTCATCTGTGCGAGGCAAGCGCTCCCTGAGCTGTGTGTCTAGGTCTCCTCTAACTTTTTTTTTTTTTTTTTTTTTTTTCGAGACAGGGTTTCTCTGTATAGCTTTGCGCCTTTCCTGGAATTCGCTTTGGAGACCAGGCTGGCCTCAAACTCACAGAGATCCACCTGCCTCTGCCTCCCAAGTGCTGGGATTAAAGGCGTGCGCCACCACCGCCCGGCCTCCTCTAACTTTTTACTTTGAGACACTTCTCTCATAGCTGCACAGGCCAGCCTGAGCTTATCTGTAACCTAGGTAGTCTTGAGTGTGTAATCCTCCTGCCTCAGCCTCCCAAGTAGCTGGGATTACAGGTCTGCCACCAGCCTGTCTTGGAGGGCTTTCCTTCTGCTAGTAGCTGCACAGCAAAACTTGAGTAATTGTGTGTTCTCCTGACTTTACAGGTAAAGTTCCCATGTGCCTTAGGTTGGTCCTCTTTGTTTCTTCAGCTGCTAGTGCCAGTTGATACCAGGAGAGGACTGACCATTGATTTCCCAACACCCCCCCCCCCATGATGTTCTCCCATTATAATGCCACTATATGATAGACTGTACTTTGGAGGAGGGATTGGCATACCAAGTTCACTGTGTCTATTAATAGGTTATTTTATTGAGTCTTACTCAGTTTGTCTTCTAAAAGAATGAAAGTTCTTCAAAGCAATTGTGATAAAATGAGTGTCTTTAAAGAATATATGCAAATAATGCACAGTGTAGTCTGATTTTTTTCTTTGGGCTATCAGCTCACAAATAATGGCACATGAAAGCTGTAACTTAGCTTAGGCTTGTCCCTGTTGTAGAATATTATTTTAAGGTGTACGCTTGTTTATGTTGCATTTGTTTAACTCTGTGAAGCTGTGTTACTCTGTCTAAAACACCTGATGGCCTAATAAAGAACTGAATGGCCAATAGCAAGGGAGGAGAAAGGATAGGCAGGGCAGGCAGGCAGAGAGAATATATAGAAGGAGAAATCTGGGAGAAGGAGATCTAGGAGCCAGAGAAGGAGGTGGACTCCAAAGTCCAGCCACCCAGCTATACAGCAAGCCACAGAGTAAGATTTATAGAAATAAGAGAACAGGGTGCCGGGCGGTGGTGGCGCACGCCTTTAATCCCAGCACTCGGGAGGCAGAGCCAGGCGGATCTCTGTGAGTTCGAGGCCAGCCTGGGCTACCGAGTGAGTTCCAGGAAAGGCGCAAAGCTACAAAGAGAAACCCTGTCTCGAAAAACCAAAAAAAAAAAAAAAAAAAAGAAATAAGAGAACAGAAAAAGCCCAGAGGCAAAAGGTAGACAGGCTAACTTAAGAAAAGCTGGCAGAAACTAAGTCAGCTAAGGCCAGACATTCATAAGTAAGAAAAAGCCTCCATGTGTGATTTACTTGGGAGCTGAGTGGTACCCCCCCCCAAAAAAATGTCCCACTAGCTCTTATAAATTAACCTGTTTCTATTAATCAACATTTTACCATGTGGCTTTTTACTTTTCCTTCATTCTGTATGTCCAACTCCCTCTGTCTTGTTGGCATAATTCTGCTCGACTAGATTCCTCCTCCTCTCCCTCTCTTCCTGGGAGTCCCACCTGCCCTCCCTGACTAGCTGTTGGCTGTCCAGCTTCTTATTTACACCAGTCACAGCAGTGTGTCTTCACACAGTGTACAAATACCCACCCACAAGGGTACAAGTTTCTCTTTTTTTCTTAAATAAGAAGCACTATGCTGATCACCTGTTTTGGGATCCTAGGTGTCTAATATTTTAGGTCTGCTAGTTTATGTTCCCAAGATACTTCAGTTTGCCCCCGTGCTGGGGAATGTTAGAATTTCAGAATATACATATGAGGTTTCCTTTAGTAAATATAACCTAAGTGTGGTCTTACTACAGGCTTTAGTCAACAATCCCAAAATTGAAGTGGTAGATGGGAAATATGCCTTCAAGCCAAAGTACAACCTGAAAGATAAGAAGGCCCTGCTCAGGCTTCTGGATAACCACGACCAGCGAGGGTTAGGAGGGATCCTGTTAGAGGACATTGAGGAAGGACTGCCTAATTCCCAGAAGGCTGTCAAGGTAATCTCCTTTTTTCCCTCTTATATCTTATATAATTTGAATTAGTAATGTTGTCGTTTACTTGTTTATTTTCTTGAGACAGGGTCTCACTATGTAGTCCTTGTTGTCCTGGAACTCACAGGAATCTGTCTGCTTCCACCTCCTGGGTGCCACCATGTCCAGCCTCTTAGGTTTCTATGTGTGTATCTGCCCAAGTATGTATGTGTGGTTGCTCAAGGAGAGGAGAGGGTGTGGATCCTCTGGAGCTGAAGCTGCTACAGGTAGTGTAGGCTGCCTGATGCTGGTACTGGGAACTGAACTTGGATCCTTTGGAAGAGCAGCAAAAGCTCTTACCCACTGAGGCATCTTCAGGCTTCTCTGAAGTTTTAAACATTTAAAAAACAGAACTGAGTTATTTTTAAATCCTTTGTCCTGTATATACATAGGATTTTACTGATCCAGTTAAAATCTGAGCTTTGGCCAAGCGGTGGTGGCGCACACCTTTAATCCCAGCACTCAGGAGGCAGAGCCAGGCGGATCTCTGTGAGTTTGAGGCCAGCCTGGGCTACAGACTGAGTACTAGGACAGTCACCAAAACTACACAGAGAAACCCTATCTTGCAAAAAAAAAAAAAAAAAAAAAAAATCTGAGCTTTGTGGAGCTGGACAGACGATGGCTTAGCAGTTAAGACAACTTGGGAGCGAACCTGGGTCCTCTGCAACACCCACATGGTGGCTCCCAGCAGTGCCTAACTACACTTGGAGGGATCGGCCTCCCTCTTCTGACCTCTGAGGGCACTAGGCCCACACAGGATGCACATACATGCATTCAGACAAAACACTCATAAACATAAAATAGTCCAAAAAAACACTTAAAAATAAGATTTGAACTTTACTCTGTGCCACAGAGCAGGAAACAGAATCTTTGTGTGATGTTGACAGGTTTTTGGGTTTTGTTTGTCTTTATGAAGTTGCAGTATGATTGGATTTTTCAGAAGGTTTCAGGAAAGTTTTTCTCAAAGACATTAGTGTAGCTAAAGTTTTCCTGCCTGGCCCACAGTCAGGACAAATCTCTCTCACCCGCCAGTCCCACAGCTGTCAGACCCAACCAAGTAAACACAGAGACTTATATTGGTTACATATTGGTTACAAACTGTATGGCCGTGGCAGGCTTCTTGCTAACTGTTCTTACAGCTTAAATTAATCCATTTCCATAAATCTATACCTTGCCACATGGCTTGTGGCTTACCAGCATCTTCACATGCAGCTTGTCATGGTGGCGGCTGGCAGTGTCTCTCTGACTCAGCCTTCCACTTCCCAGCTTTATTCTCCTCCTTGTCCCGCCTACATTTCCTGCCTGACCAATGGCCAATCAGTGATTTATTTATTGACCAATCAGCAACACACTTGACTTGACATATAGACCATCCCACAGCACATTAGTGTTTCTCTTGTAACAATAATGTTAGATAATGCTTTACCAAGGAGCTAGATGCATTAAAACCTAATAACATCATTGCTTAATAACGTGTCTGTTCTGGTATCCTGAAGGGGTTTGCCGTAAAAATTATGGTCATGAAGATTACACTTTCCAATTAAATTTGAGAGTCTTGCAAAACCTGCTTGTTGCCATTGCATGTTAGGCATAGTTAGTGCTCTCGCGCCACACACACACACACACACACACACACACACACACACACACACACACACGAAGAAATTCAGCTAAAACCCGGGGGACGGAGCATGTAGACCTTAGTGGTGTACTGGAGGCTAAAGAAAAAGAAGCCTTTGTTCTCTCTCTCTGTGTATCATATATATATAGTATATTTTTTAAATGAGTAATTTGATGTTAATTTTTTTTCTCTAAGGCTTTAGGGGACCAGATACTGTTTGTAAACCGTCCTGATAAGAAGAAAATACTTTTCTTCAATGATAAAAGCTGTCAGTTTTCTGTGGATGAAGGTGAGCCATTTTGTGCAGATGCTTCTTAAAAATTGCAAGTTTTGTTTTTTTTTGTCTTTTGAGACAAGGTTTTTTTGTGGATGTTCTGGACCTCTATCTGTAGACCAGGCTGGCCTCGAACTCACAGAGATCCGCCTGACTCTGCTTCCCGAGTGCTAGGACTAAAGGCGTGCACCACCACTGCCCGGCAAGAAACTAGAACTTCTTGATAGCAGTTCATGGAACCATTTCAGGAATAGTCTTTCTGTTTAGTAATATAGGACCACATATTTGTATAATCCTCATGCTAAACTATTACTGTTTCCTGTCTCTTAGGTGCTTTTTCTGAGAATCCATTTTCTGTTTGTCTTTTATTGGCACTTAGTTAATATTGCATCTAGTGTAGTTTGCCATTTTATGTCCTTAGTTAGTCTAAAATCTTTGTTATGGCTGACAGAGATAAATGGGAGTTTTTATTCCCTCACCCCTCCAGATTGTAAGTAGTCATATACATATGGTAAGATTTCACATACCAAGGAGCAGATTTTAAGTAGCTTGATACTTACTCTTCTAGTTGGGTATCTCTGCACTACAAGTATTCTCTAATGGTGTATGGCTGTTTAGCTCTCCACTGTGTATTTGTGATGAATAGATTCTGAAGTGTTTGACAGTGCTATAGCAAGTAACTTGCATGTTGATAATGTGTTGGTGAAGTAGCCTTATAACTCAGGAAGATACTGGAGAGGCTGTTGTGGGATACTTGAGCACACTGTATACACCTCGAGATTGTGTTAGTTACTGGAAAAACCTATTTCTAGCTGTGGTATGGCTCAGCCCTAGCATACCTGTAATCCAGGCACTTTCTGCTTACTGTAAACGGAATTCAATAAAGTCAACCATAGGTCAAGAGGCAGAGCAAGCAACCAGCTGACAGGAAGAGAATAAGAAATAGCCATCGAAAGGAGGAAAGAGTCAGGAGGATAGAGAGGGACTCACAGGAAGGAGAAGGGAAGAACATTCAGTTTGAGGAGTCTTTTGTGAGATGGCGTAGGAGAAGGGAGGCTTCTGGGACACTGGCTGAGGAGGAAGGTCAGCTAGGTTCTTTCTGCCTCTCTGAACTAGCAGGCTTTCCCTCCAGCATCTGGCTCTTGAGTCTTTATTGGTAAAATCAAACGATTGAGATTTTGTTTAAAACAACAAGAGGCAGACTAAGAAAAAGTTGCTTCTTTTAAGATCTTTGTTGAGGCCAGGTGGTGGTGGCGCACACCTTTAATCCCAGCACTTGGGAGGCAGAGGCAGGTGGATCTCTGTGAGTTCGAGGCCAGCCTGGACTACAGAGTGAGTTCCAGGAAAGGCTCAAAAGCTACACAGAGAAACCCTGTATCGAAACCCCCCCCCTTGCCAAAAAAAAAGTACTTTATTGTTGCTTCAATATATTGTGAAATGTTTTCCTAGATTTCTTAGTACTGAGCCGTGCTCACCACTCCTAGAATTGACTGACTTCTCACTGGTGTCAGATATTTGGTCTCCGTCTTTGTCTCTTTTGTCTCCCAAAGATGGAAAATGATTTTGAGCAGTGGAGGTTTTCAACCCTCTGTATGGACATGGGGAGCATTCTTAAGAAGAACAGGGAGAAAGCCCAGAGTTTCAGGCTAGCAAGCATGCTTATGGTTTTGTAAGGTTGGAAAAGGACAAGGACAGTTATGCTTTTGAGTTAGAATTCAGAAAGGTAGGCAGGCTTAGAAGTGAAGATCTGCAAACACCTGTCTGTTTCTGGATTCTTTATAGTAACATAGCTCAGATTTTTTGTATATATGTGTGCATGTGGGTGTGTGAGTGCAGATAGATATCCTAGGAAGCCAGAGGTATCTGCTTCCCTGGAGCTGGAGTTACCAGTGGCTGAGAGACACCTGACAATGGGTACTCGGGTCCTCTGCAAGAGCAGTGTGCACTCTTAACCACAGGGCCATCTCTCCAGACCCATTGTTAAAATCGTTTTTTAGCTTGGTCAGTTTTCTTTTTGGTGCTTTGTGGGGTGTTGTTGATGAGTATTATGCTGGATCCATACAAAAGAAAAGACAAGTGTAGGCTCTTCCCTGCCCTTCTCCCCTTCATTATCAAAGTCTTAGATTCCTTGAATACTTGAAAGCATTCACTAGGAGTATTGGGCTGGTTGCTTTTTCTTTGATTCTATCCTTAGTGTCTTCTTTGGCTTTAAGTTTTCTGTCTTGTGAGTCTGTCCTAATAAACTCTTTTCTTTCAGAATCATCCATTCACAGATTACATAAGATAACTTCTAGAACCTTTAATTCTATCATTTTACTTATTTTTTTTTTTTTTTCCAGAGCTGAGGACTGAACAGCAAGCGCTCTACCACTGAGCTAAATCCCCAACCCCTATTTTACTTCTTATTAACCAACTTTTCATACTTGGTGTGGCTTTCTTAGTTCTTTGTCAGACTGTCATTTGACTTCTGTTGCTTGTTGTTGTGTTTAGTTTTTATTTTGTTCTTAGAGACAGGGTTTCTCTGTTGTAACAGCACTGGATGTCTATAACAACCCTAGCTGTCCTGGATCTCGCTCTGTAGACCAGGCTGGCCTCGAACTCACAGAGATCCGCCTGGCTCTGCCTCCTGAGTGTTGGGATTAAAGGTGTGTGACACCACCACCTGGCAGTGTTTTTATTTTAATAACATTTAATCAGATCACTTGCTACCTATTAAAAGTTTGACTACTTAATCTGACCCCTGACTAAGCAGACATAAAGGTCTCACAGTTTTAATGGTTTTGTCGATTTCCTTCAGCACTTTGTGTAATTGTCGTTCCATGTTTTCATGCACTTTATCTGTGTCTCTTCTTGACGATCGCAGTTTAAGGGCTGTGTTCATACTCACATAAATAAAGGGTTCCTTCCAGTTGTGGTGTTACTTCACTGCAGTCCAGCTCGTACTCTGTCAGAGTTCGAGCTCCAGCTCACATGTAGTAACTCTTCCCCCTTTATTTGCCTGATACACTTCTGCCCATCTTTTACTTCCCACTTGTATCCATGTGGTTTAGACATTTCTTTTGTGGTGGCCCATTGTTATCCGGCTTCTACAGCAATTTTAATTGCTTATTTTATGTATTTGGGTGTTTTGTCTGGATGTGTGTCTGTGCATCATGTGTATGCCTGGCACGGGGGTTGGATGCTCTGGGATTATGTTCAGTTGTGAGCTACTGTGTGGGTGTTGAGAGTTGAACCTAGGCCCTCTCAAAGGGCAACCAGTGTTCTCAACTGCTGCCGTCTCCATCCATCTTTACGATTTGGAGTTGAACCTAGGCCCTCTCAAAGGGCAACCAGTGTTCTCAACTGCTGCCGTCTCCATCCATCTTTACAATTTTGAGCCTTTTCTCCTTTCCGCACTCGCTCCTTCCGTACCCCCCTCCGCGCGGTCTTTCTCTCTCCCTCCTCTCTCTCCCCACCTCCCAATAAAGCTCTAGAAAGGTTAAAAAAAAAAAAGATTCTGAATCAGTTCTAAATGCCATTTTTGTTTCTTTTTGTTTTTGGAGACAGGGTTTCTGTGTAGCTTTGCGCCTCTCCTGGAACTCACTTGGTAGCCCAGGCTGGCCTCGAACTCACAGAGATCCGCCTGGCTCTGCCTCCCGAGTGCTGGGATTAAAGGTGTGCGCCACCACCGCCCGGCGACGCTTACATTCTTATGTATATATTTTTATTATTTACTGTGTAGTGGTGTTTGTGAGCCATGGCACACATGTGGAGGTCCGAGAACTACTTGCAGAAGTCAGTTCTTTCCTTCTACCTGAAAGAACTGTGGGTCCTGAAAATTGAACTCAGGTCACCAGGCTTGGTGGTAAGCTGAGCCACCTCAGGTCTCTTTCAGTCCATGAAGCTTACATTCTGAGAGAGAAGACTATACAAATTTAAAAATATTACAGAGGATAAAAATCTGAGGAAGGGGGCTGGAGAGATGGCTCAGTGGTTAAGAAAACTAGCTGTTCTTCCAGAGGTCCGGAGTTCATTTCCCAGCAACCACATGGTGGCTCACAACCATCTATAATAAGATTTGATGCCCTCTTCCAGCACACAGGCATACATGCAGAGCACTCATACATAAAATATAAATAAATAAAATTGTAAAAAAAAATCTGAGGACGGATGTTAAGCTTTGGTCATGTTCAAGGGAGAAGGTGAGAGGTTCAGAGATGGCCTCTGTGAGAAAAGAAGAGGTTAGCTGAAACCTGAGCTAGATGGAGCTAGCCTTGCAAAGCCCCAGCATTGCGTCCACGTGTCCTGTTGTACAGAGACACCCTAGTCTGTTGGTGTTTGTCTGATCAGATTGAGTGAACTCTTTTTTTTTTTTTTTTTTTTTTTGGTTTTTCGAGACAGGGTTTCTCTGTGTAGCTTTGCGCCTTTCCTGGAACTCACTTGGTAGCCCAGGCTGGCCTCGAACTTAGAGAGATCCGCCTGCCTCTGCCTCCCGAGTGCTGGGATTAAAGGCGTGCGCCACCACCGCCCGGCGAGTGAACTCTTTTTTATGACAGCTATTTTGTAATGCTTTTACTCTTCAGAAATTTATGCAAAACATTATATAAGCTTCCTTTTAAAACATATTTTATTTTATGTATATGGGTGTTTCGTCTGTATCACAGGAATTCGTGGGACCCTTGGAGGCCAGAAGGTGGCTTTTGGTTTCTTGGAATTGGAGTCTCAGATAATGGCTACTGAGTCACCTCTCAGCCCCAACATAAACTTAGGTGTAATTTCTTTAAAAGTCAGAAGAATGCCCTAAATGTAGATGGCTATATTTAATGTTTTTCTTGGATTATTTGTAAGTAGTCAGACATAGTTATGCCAGAAATGTAATATAAATGAAATAGCTGTTTACCTTTAAATGTGGCATCACCATGAATATGATTACTGTAGAAAACCAGTAGATGTTTGATGTATGGGCAAGCATATGTGCTGTAACTTGTGATTTCCTTAAGTGGTTCAGAATTCTTGAAGTTCTATCAAGTGAAAAG